AAAAAAAAAAAAAGCTCACACATGAGCAACATCCCACTGGTGTGAGTTTAGGATAACAGAAACTCTTTAAGATGGACTGTGTAATCAGCTGTATCGTGACCGACTTGATTAATAGCTTTCAGCAATTTATTGTTGATTTAATCATGGACAGCTGCCAATGTCTGACGCTCTGATCTCCTCAGCTGATACCCACAATCAATACAAAAGCAATCTGAGGAGAAAACCACCACATTTTCTTCTTTAATGGTTTCGAAAGATTCTTAGTCCTAATGATCTGATCTTCAGCTCAGTCGCTGCCATAAACAAACACACACAAAATGTGGTTTTCAGCTCGGTGTTGAACACGCAGTGGAAACCGTCACAGCTCAGGGTGAAACAATATGTGAATCCTTAATAACTTTAATAACAGCCTGATCCTCCTCTGGCAGCAATAACCTGATGTACCGCTGGATCAGACCTGCACATGCTCAGCAGCGTTCCTCTTTACAAACGGGTTTAAACGCAGAAACGCTCTGGGTCAGGTGTGTTCAGGTTCTTACCGTCGCGTCACCCGACATCCATTGAGCTGTATATTCTCCTCCATGTTGTCCAAATCATTACGTCTCATGAGATCGGTTTGGCCTTGATGTGAACATTAAGGATTGTAGAGGTGCTTCTGTAACACTTTCCATCTTTATGCAAGCCCACATTATTAAACTCGAGCGATCTTCCGTTTTGAAGGGAACACAAGAAACGATTAAAATGTGCACCGCAAACAATGAAAGCATCTTTGAAACGTCCAAATGTAAAAGTCGTTTGTTTGAGGCATGATTCACATTAACATGCTTCTTGTGAACAGCATCTCTTTGATTGGACTGTTTTGAAGTAATTCGCCTCAGGATTCGCATTCTTGTTCTCATGGTGTGCTCAAACAATACATGAAAACGTCTTCTTGTGTGTTTGTGTCGTCGTGATTTAGCTGAAGATCAGATCAAGTGTTATGACCAGTTCGTTCAGGAATATAGGTTTCTGCAAGCTTTCATGGAACTCATGACAGATGTAAAGCATCTGTGATATTTGCTTCAAGAAATGCAAATGAGAGAACAAAGTGCACTCTATACTGTTGTGCTGGAATGAATAAACAAGCAGCACATTCATCATATTTAACCGATGGGAACAAATGAAGAAGGTTCCCTTATATTTTGTGTCGGTTTCATATTTATTTCTTTAACGTGTTTGTCTGCTGTCCCTTACGCCGGGACACGAGAGAAATGAATATAAAAGCACAGCAGAAGCTGTGTGTCACATGAAGCCCCGTTTTCCGATGCTTTGTAATTGGATTCTGGATGGATTTATTGCTTTTCTCCACACATTCTGTTGCCCCGTGGCCCTGTTTCATAGCTCAGATTCAGTACGTCTTGTTAAGTTTTCTCAATAACAGATATAAGTGACCCTGGAGGCTCATCGCTGCTGCTGAGGTGTTGCACTTTCTGCTTTCTGATAGAACTGAGATTTGTAGGCTTGCTGTTTTAAACATCAGAGAACAGAAGTAGAGCAGAGTCACACAAACCTGGGAAAGAAAAACTGAACAAGTTTGAAAATTCAGAAAATTCATGGTAACACTTCTTAATCACTCTATATGAAACATTATTTCATCATATGATTTCAATATAACATATGCTATAAATGTGTCATGTAAACTGTATTTATATGAAGGTCAGATCTTTTAAACATCAGCATACGTCTGTGTGAAACTGCTCGAACTCAGGGAAAGGGAAAATTACTGTTTGATTAAACATTTGAGGGCACATGAATTTAAAAATAATGGTATGCATAATTCACTGCAACATTCTGTTAAAATGTTGACTTCATTTCATGGGGACTTTAAGCATTTTGTGATCGGCGTAAATGTAAAGTGACTTCAGCACAGGAAGAGCGTGTGTGATGATAAAATGTACTAAAAAAATGTCACTGAGGTAAAAAAACAAAAATCTTAATTCTAAGGCAAAACAAGATTATTTTACTTGCTCCATACAAAACACAATTTTGATACGTTTTTCAGAAAGCAAATCTTAAGTCATTTTGCTTCAAGTAAGTGCATCTTGATTTAAGAATGTTCTGATATTTGTACTGGAAAATGACAAAAAATACTAAGAAAATCTTTTTTGCAGTGTAGGTTAATTCATTGACAATACACTTCTTGACAAAAATAATGAGAATTAGTAATATAATTTATACGGTGAAATAAGCTCATCAAATCAGATTTGAAAGTTGGAATGAGTTTCGTAATGTTTGTCAATGACTTCTGAAAGTTATTATACATAATCTTGGTTGCACTTTATTTTACAGTACTTGAACTTACATGTACTTACATGTACTTACCCAAGAAAGTACTGGTAATAAGGTAACTACATGGGGTTAAATCTCATTCACAGACATGAGGCCAGATCCTCCATCTCTACTCATATGTGCTCTCACACTCGCTGGAATCGCTTTTCTCGAAGGCATCCTGAATCCGAGTTTAAGTTAATCAAAGACGTGCAGCGCGCAGTGATTAAAATCTTCCTGTGCATAATTAAAACTGTTTTTCAGAGACATTCCCAGAAAACAGCATGCATTTCCATTCATTAGAGCGCTGATGGTGAAGCGCGTGTGTTTCTGCAGATCTGTGTGAGCCAGTGCTAAAGTGACAGCTCTCAGAATCAACTCGTTTAACCAAATCAATCGGTAAATTAAGCAAACAGTGCTGGTGTCATTAAAGTCTCAGCTGGAGAAGCTCAGGTGATGCTCCTCTAGGGTTCTTCAGCCCAATGCTTGTTTTCATTTGGATTTAAATCAGCAGAAACCGCTGCCTCATTCATCAGAGACGCTGGACAGTGTTTAAAACCACTTTTTAATCTTTCATGACAATGTAGTCAGTGTGAATTTAAGCCAGTAAATCTTACAGATGCAGTCAAATACTCATGAAGGCTTCGGCTGTCAGGAAAACACATGAGAGAAACTAATCTGGCTGATTGGAGAGCTTCTAGAACATAGAACAATTCATACAGAAATATGGCCAAATAATAATAATAATAATAATAAACCTATTTATTAATACACAATAACATTTCCATGTTACTTACATGTTCACGAGTCAGACAGGCAAATCTGTAATATTTAGAATACCTGATTGTAGTCTAAAAAGTTTATTTTCTTTAATAAAAAAATAAATAAATGCATATATATATATTTCTAATATTAACCATTTCCTATATTTGAAGTCAAAGCATTTCATTATTTCACAATAATTAATGGCTGATCTTTACATGCCAAATTATTTATATAGTTTCAAACATTCAATTAACAAAATTTTTACATAAAATTGATTTTACATGCCATATAGTTATTTTTGCATTTTTATTTAAATGTATATTACGGATCTGTAGTGACAGCAAACCCACTGGCACATCTTACCCCACTATCTACTCTACAAACCAGATTCACTATAATTCATTTGTTACGCATGAGGACAGAGGCAGCGGTTGTAATGTGACGGTGAACTCAGTGTTCGATTGTTCTGGATGTCAAGCTTTCCACGCTTGCTCGTCTCACAAATATCTGCAGATGAAACACACGAGTCAGCCCAGAAGCATTTCTGATTAGATGTTTATGTATTTGTAAATGGTACAAAGAAATCCTTAATAACAAATGAAATGATTATTTTCCAGGTAATAAAAAAACAAAACAAAACATGAACGTAGCCTTGCTCTGTTAGCAAACGCACTGTCATGTGCTGAGATGATCTTTTAGTCTTTATGTCATTTAAAGAAGGTGAAACAGGTGCAGGTCTGTACGATGATTCAACTGAAGGAAAATGTTTTAATGGGGGCTCATATAAACATTTTTATACTATTTTTTTAATTCCCTGAGGTCCTGAAATGAAGGATGTGAATGAAGGAAGTGTTTTTGTGCCTAAATCAGTCATAGTTATTCTAAATGTTAATGTAAACAACCAGATTTTGCTGCTTGGTTTAAAAAAAACTGCAATGTTTTCATTCATTTTGAATTTAAGAATTTAAATGTGATTCTTCGTGACATGAGCCCTTTAAATGACAGAGACTAAAAACATGCTTTTTCACACTCCATATAACATAATTGATTTTTAATGGAAAATTCACAGCTGAATATGAATATATATGAAGCAGAAACATAAAGATGCATATCAAATGTGATCTATAAATCTCAGTGTTACAATGCTCTCTCTTAAATTCATAATTGTCATTCTTTTGTTTTTTACGGCATGCTATTTCCCACAATGCATTGTGGCTCCAAACATATCCAGGAATGTGTGAATAATTCAGCTTTTTTTCCACGTTGTGTCACAGAACGACACAGTGAAAGGATGGAAATCGTCTCAGTGACTCCTTGTTGAATCGGCCGAGGCCAGAGTCCTGCGTTAGTTAATACTTCTCTTTTCTTCATACGGCGTCCCATCATTCAGGGATTTAATGCGGTTAAAACAGGTCTGAAAAGAGCAACACAATCTCTCGCCCGCATGCTAGCGGTTTAAACCAGGACAGAGACGGATGTGTCATTCCAGCAGGTGTGCCAAGAAAGCAATAACTGACTGCATATCACATTTTAATAATATGGCATAAAAATCATTCAGCCATCTGATCAGCATTTGATGTGTTGATGAGATCCGTACAGCAGCAGACAGAAGTGTTTGGAAACTCACAGGTGTGTGTGTGTGTGTGTGTGAGAGTGTGTGTGTGTGTGTCTGTCTGTGTGTGTGTGTGTGTGTGT